AGCGGCAGCTCCCGCCTGGCCCGGCAGAGCCCGCACGAGGCCCCGCGGCCCCACAGCGCGCTCGGGGCCTTGGGGCCCGGCCGGGGATCCGTCCCGCTTCGGCTCCCCGCAGCCCCTTCCCAAAGCTGGGAGACAGGAGGGCCACGTAGCCGCTCCCTGTGCGGAGGCTGGGCGGCGCCGGGCTCCAGCGCGGAGCTGGCTCCCTGCATGATGCTCCCGATCCCGGACTCTTTGGTGGGAGGCCAGGGTGGAGCAGTGCCCTTTCCGAGCGCCCCGCCAGGCTGCTCCGCATGAAAGCATCGGCCATCCCCTCCCGCCGTTCCCCATGGCCGGCGCTGCCCCGGCCAGCGCTCCCGCTGCACCGGGAGGCCACCCTGGCCCGTGGGGACGCGGCCKCCTCCTCCTGGACGTGCCTCCCTACCCCAGCAGGGTGCTCTCCGTTAGCCCCATGGACACGCGCACTCGCCCCGCAGAGGCACCACACTTCACTTTTATTAAGTCACGGTCTTCCGTTTTTGCGCGTAGAAAATACATAAAAAGTCCGACGTTTTGTAAACAGTSCCAGGAGCGGTAAGGCCAGCAGAGAAGCAGCCACATCGCCCTATTACCCCTGCCAGGGCAGCGAGCACCTCTGTGGCTCCCGCCGTGTCTACGTACAGCAGGCAAAGACACGGGGCCCCTGTGATGGACACAGCTTTGCTTGAAACCCCTGCTTCAAACGCCTGCTGCTCCTGCCCGGCAAAAGGAAGCCGTGTTGCTCACGGACAGCACGGCCTCGAGCCCGGCTTGGTCTCGAGAGAGCCCGCGAAACTCGGCCCCCTTCGTGGCTCCCAGGCAGGCACCGGGGGCAGGGATCCGGGGAGCAGGAACCCGGCAGGGGACACACGGGCACCTCCCCGGGCACTGTCCCACCGCGCCAGGCCAGGCCCGGGGCCGCCTCTGCCGGGGGCACCGCCACAAGCCAGGCCTGGCAAGGCTGCAGCGACTGTTCGCAGAACCTCGTCCCTGCCCTGGGGCTTTAGAAGCCGGCCACCACCGAGGAAGCTGCAMGGGGCGCTTTTCTGTGGAGGTTTCGCTGCCCCCGCTGGATGTGCAGCTGGGGGAACTGCCCAGCGCAGAGCAAGCGCTCCGGAACAGAAGGAAAACTGCCTGAAAAGGCTAAGGGGGAAGAATCCCGAGTGGGAGCAGCACCTCGGAGTGCCAGCGGCCCGGGAGCCGCATGAAAGCATCGGCACAGGCGGCCTCATCCCCAAGGGCGCCTTTAACCTCTGCCTGGCAGCATAAACACCAGCCATGTGGTTGGCAGCGCAAACGTCGCCCCGGGGGTCGCTCCCCACGCGGCGCCCGGCAGCGTCAGCCTCGGGGCAGAATTCCCACCCCGGCAGCAGCAAGTGCGGCCCAGGGGCAGGGGCACTGCAGCAATGAGCTGGAGGACAACACCGGCGTGGTCAGACAGTGAGATGCAAGTCCCAGCAGGGCTTTTAAGAGAAGCCCCAAATTAAAACATTCCACTTACATGTTCCCTATATACCCCTTTTTTTTTTTTTTTTCTCTCTCCTCCCACCCCTCCAGTCCAATGGGAAATCTACTTCCCCTCAGCAGCAGCATGGAGCAGCCTGGAGAAGGAGTCAGGCTGTGAGATCCACAAAGACGGCGTTGGCAGTGGTCTGTCCAAAGATGAAGGCTCCGAGGGTGACCATGAACACCCCATAGCTGACCAGAGCCCACCAGCTGCGGACACACAAGGACGGGGCGCACTCAGAAGGGACCCGCGTGCCGATGCTGGGGGCAAAGCGGGGAGAGCGGAGGGGAGCTTCCCTTACCTGACCGCTCGGGTTTCCTGGATCTCGGAGAGTTTGGCTTGAATCAGGCAAAGCCCTGGCAGGGAGGGGAGGCAAAGTAAGTCCAGGTGAGCACCATCCTCCTCACCGCCTCTCGCGCCCGAGCAGACCAAGCAGCTGCTCATCCAGAGAGTCAAGAGCTGCTCCACAAAGGCGGCGGGGACACATCCTCTCCTATTTCTCCTGGGCTTCTTCCAGCCAGGTAGACCGATCCCAGGGTAATCCCAACCAACCCCCAGCCTGCCCTGGAGAGCAGCAAAGGACCTTGCTGGTGGATGGAGGAGGGATTTCCCCTCCAATCCTCATCCTGCCTCTCCCACAGTCCCAGTTATGGAGCAGAGAGCCCAATAAGAAGAGCTGGGCTGTCAACCAGCCTCACTTCCATCCTTCTCAAATGGGCTCTTGGTTCCTGCACTTCCATCTTGACCGCTGTTTGCCTGAGATACGAAGATGAGAGACCTCTATGGGCCCCCAAGTGTCCTAGGAAGACAGGACCATACCTGGGAAGACAAAGATGAAGCAGGCGGCCAAGCCACCGATGACAGAGATGACCTTGCCGATGTCAGGGATGAACAGAGCCAGAAGGAGAGTCAGGAGGAACCAAGTGACAGTTTGGAGCAGGCGCCGCCGCCGCTCCCGCACCACATCCTCCTCCACCGTCACACCAGTGTAGCGGAGCCAGAGACCTTCCAGGACAGCCCTGTGTGCACAAATGTGAGCAAGGGGCATCCTGGCCGTGCCCGCCGCCGGCCCTGGCCACCTCCCGCCCCTCACCGGCCACAGAAGTGCAGGATGGGGTAGGATGTCAGCACACACAGGATGATGAAGGCCCGAGCAAGAGCCACGGGGATGTCGTTGGAGGGGTAGGAGAGCAGCACGTCTTGGTCCACGCTCGTGCCAAAAGTCAGGAACCCGCAGACACCTGCCAGGGAAGGGAGCAGCCAGCAGGGGACAGGGAAAACTTGTGTCTGAGTGGGAAGATTCAGGGGGATGTGACACACAGGGGTCCAGSGGCACCCTCCCCTCCTCCCTCACACAGGCCCTGCTGTCCAGGCGATCTCAGCTCGCCAGGAGCTCACAGCCCCTCCAGGGACGTTGTCCAAGCCGCACAAGCCACCAGGAGGTTCCCTCACTTACCAGTGCCCATGTAGACAAAAAGCGCGATCACCATGGCCGCCGTCACCACCGCCCCCCAGGTCTTCACCTCTGGCTGCTTCATGCTGTTGAAGACGGGCACGCTGCTCACGTGGCACTGTCGGCAACACAGAGAGGGCATCGGGCAATGCAGCAGCACGAGCAGGAGCGAARGGCAGCCCAGGGGGATCCCGCCCAGCTCGCAGCTAGAGCAAAGCGCCACCGCCAAGCGGAGACCTCGTGAGGCCCCGGCCTCGCACGGGACACCGGCCACCCTGGCAGCTCCCTGCCCAGGATGAGACTGATCCGTCCTCCTCCCAGTTCTACTCGCAGCCCGTTACAGGGAGCTCCTCTAGCTTCCCGTGCCACAGCCTGGGGGCTGTCCAGGAGCCACCGTTAGCCCGCAGCTCCTTTGGGGACTAGAGCAGCCCCGCACCCGGAGAGCCACGAGGCTGCAGCCTCACCTGGAATCCGAAGCAGATGGTGGGCATGGCGTTGAACACGGCCATCCACGTGGAGGGGCTGGCAGGAGAGAAACAGCCACTGGTCAGAGYGGGCCGGCGGGGACAGTCCCCTGCAGCCTGTGATCAGCAAGGGGATTCAGCAGCAGGGTCGTTCCCCAGACCTGCCTCCTCCCAGGCCTTCTCAGAAGCCTTCAGAGATACCCCAAATTGAGGAATTACAGAAGTAAAAGAATCAGTTAAAAAAAAAGAGGAGGAAAGGGAGGACAGAGAAGCAGGAAAGGAAAAGGACCTGTTGGGCAGTGCTGAAAACCAGTCTAAGTCTTACCCTGCCCTAAAACCCCCGGGATATCTGGGTCTGCCCACACTGCCTCCAGAAACAGCCCCATACAGCGAAGGAAGGGTGAAGCCACGCAGACTTTGTTGACAAAGAAAACCACCCAAACCCTCCTAAAAAGAGCCCCAGATCTCCCAGTTCTAGGTAAGCACTGTGAGGGGAACTCTGGGTCCAGCTGTATTGGAGCTAAATTTGAACCAGCTCTTGACAAATAATTCATGGAGCTCTGGGGACATCTGGGAGGACAGGACCCCACCGGCAGGGGCACCATGGATCCCACCGGAGCAGTGTCTCCAGAACGCAGTGACTCCATTTCTGGGGTCCCTGGTGGTGGGGTCCTTCTAGCCCCCGTGGTCTCCCAGGTCCTAGGTATTCCCCGCGCTCCTCAGCAGCCCGCAAGACACCCTTGCCGTGGAGGGCAGTGCTCTGATGGCCAAGCTCATGCTGCAGGACTGCACAGGGGGAGAAGGGCACAAGGACAGGGAGCCTCCAACAGGTCTCTCCTCTCCTGTGCTTTGCTGGCACTGAGGCTGGCACTCGGGAAAGAACCCTGTGCTACCCCTCCTTTCAGCACCCCTCATTGCGGCAAGCCTCTGGGCTCTGCAGCACGTCAGGGTCCCCAGCAGCCGTGCGTCTCTGGCACCTACCTGGTAGGGATCTCCACAGGCACGAGCTCCTTGTCAGGCCAGATGTACTTGATGATAATGACCGCGGTGACGTACCAGGTGCCGATGACGCTCAGAGAGCTGCAGGAGGGGACAGTGGCATGTCAGCGGTGCTGCAGTCGTGACCCTCCCTAGGCTCTTCACCTGGTCTCTGCAGCCCTGTCCTTCTCCCGAGGCAGCCTGGACCACCTCAGTCCTCCCCACCAAGAGCATCTCTTGCCCTGCCTTTCCTTCGCCTCCCTGAGAACGACTCCAGAGATGGTGCGTGAAGCAGCCAAGACCAGGAACAGGGAGGAGAAGCAACATGCCCAAAGCCTCACGGGTTGGCAGCAAAGCCAGCACTAGAAATGGGGTCTCTGCATTGCGAAGGGCCCAGACTGCTATTTCGTCCCAGCTCGCAGCCCTGCAGGCTCTCCTCGCCTACCTGGCGTACTTCTGAAAGCCAATCTCCTTGGGGATGGAGAGGGGCAGGATGAGGAGGAAGGCGGTGATGCTGATGGTGAACTTGCGGTCTGTGTACCACGGGCAGCTCCCCGCTCCCTCGGGCTCCGTCACCAGCGCGGCGATGACTGCGGGGCAGAGCCGGCGTGTCAGGGTGCACGGCCAAGACACCTCCCTGGGCCAGGGTGAGGAAGAGGGCACCCAGCTTGTTCTTACTCTTGTCCTCCTGGTCTCCAATGATGATGAGGAAGGCGATGCAGGTGCCAAAGGTGTAGACGGCAATAGCCACCTCGCAGAGCACGCCAGGCACCTTCCCGCACACGGCCCACACCACCTCCTGGTAGGTGCGCTCGTTGCTGGCCTGCGAGCAGTACGCCAGGATAACCAGGCCTCCGATGATGAAGACCAGCATGCACTGGCGTGGGGAGGAGACACGGAGGGGAGGCCGTGAGGGCACCGCATGCCGCAGGCCCCAAAGCCACCCCAGATGCCAAGCACCAAACACCTCCAGGATCTCCGCTGCCCCTCAGGGCCCCTCACCCCACGAAGTCCCCGCACAGGGATCTGCAGCTCCCATACTCATGTGGGTGCCGCGCAGGGCCCTCCCTCCCATGCCCACTCACCATCTGCAGCGCAATGCCCGCGGCCACGCCGCCGGCCATGTTGAAGGCGGCAGGGAAGTTGAGCAGGCCAGCCCCAAGGGCAGCGTTCACCACAATGAAGACGGCTCCCAGGGCCGAGGTGGCCCCCAGGCTCTCCCCGCTCTTGGGGACCGTCTCCACACTGGGGCTCTGCAGGAGCCTGGCCCGTTCCCCAGCATCAGCGCTCCACTCCCAGTCCCTGTAGTCACTGTTGATGCTCCCGGTGCCCTGAGCCATCTKCCGTCGGAGGGCAGGATCCTCCCGTGTCACTGCAGTGCACGCCACCCTCGGCAGCCCACGCGCCTCCCCTGGCCGGCTCAGCACGCTGCTGTGAGGAGGGTTCCCGGCAGCGCTGGCTCCATCAAGCAGCCGGGCTGGGATCGCAGCTGTGCCGAAATGCAGARGACCCCGTCACTGCACCTGGAAGGGACACAAGAGGGACAAGAGCCAGCTAGGGAGACAACCCAGGCACTGGACAGGGGCACACATGAAGTCCCTTCCCTGGGTCTCACCACACCTCATAGCACACCTCACCTAGGCACAGCTCACACCTCACCTTGCACACAGACACCCTAATTCCCGCCAAGGCACTATGGGGTGGAGGGAAGAGAACTCACCYGCTGTCCTCCGAATGCAGACATCCTGGTCGCGCGGCCGGGCGCTGCTCACAGCACGGCACGTCTGCAGGCACGAGAGCCGGCRTCACGGTCGCTCCCGCCGGCAGCCCCAGCTCCCGCGGGCTCCGCGAGCCGCAGCGGCCACGCACGTGTGGCCGGGTAAAGGTCGGCGGCAGGGAGCACCGCGGACCCCGGGAGCGCAGGAGCAGCGGCGGCTGCGCCGGCCGGGACTGCGGAAGGGGGTGCGGGGAGCRCCTGGGGGGCCCGGCACAGCCCCCGCACCCAATCCCGGCGCCTCTCTGGGCACAGGACGGGCTCTCACAGACCCTGCCCAGCGCCGAGGGCGCCTGGCCGGGCCTCCCAGGGAGCTCCGAGCCACAGGAAATCCTTCTCCCTGTGCTCTTCGTGACCAGGCAACCTCTTGCTTCCCGGCTATTTATTCCCACGTTTTCGCAACGGATCCTCTCGGAGGTTTTTAGGAAAAGAGGGAGACYGCAGAGCGGGGCACAGGGAGGAGCTCGGCAGCGGCTCCCCGCAGGCAGGAGCGCCGAGGGGCCAGGGCGGCCCCGCACACACGGGCTCCTCCGCGCCCGGCTCCTGCGGGAGGAGGCTGGGGCTTCCCGCCGGGAAGGGCGCTGGAAGCGGGGCGGGAGGGCGGCAGGTGCCAGTCGCCCAGAAAACGATGGAAATGGTGGAAAGGATGACGGAAACGATGCGGTTTTCCCCGCAGGCTGGTGCAGATGGCGGCGGCAACCGCGGGCCGCGGCGGGCGGCTCCGGGCCGGGGGGGAGACACCCCGGCCCGCC